CGACTCCTCGTCTCACCTAGTCATCGTCCTCGCTTCCCTGCCCGGTCTCCGAGTCCTGCGCCTCGCCTGAGTCCTCGTCCAAGTTCGAGTAGTCTTCCTCCTCTTCGTCCTCTTCGTCGATCTCGTCGAGCCGGCTCTTGGCCCGACGCCCGTGACGCTGGGGCCGACTTGCTACGCGCGCTGCGACCCGGACCGCCACCTCTGCTGCCGCCTGTGCTACCCGTAGTCCTTGCCGGCGAGCGAGTGCCTTTTGCGGGGCTGTCGCCAGAGCAGGTGTCGCCACGGCCGTCTTCTCATCTGTTTTGTGGTCTGCGCGCTGCGCTGCGCTGCGCGTCTCGAGGCGCGCCGCAACACAGCCCGTTACATGGGGTAATGGATGAACCAAGCATTCCCGATGGCCGGGGGGATGTCCCATGGCCCCGCCCGGGGTGGCCGTGGGCACGCAGGGGGCGCCGCTACGGGCCGCTGCGGCGCCCATTCTACTTCGAAGAATGCCATTCTGGAAACTAGAATCTGATCTATCTAGGTCTGAGACCGCAGGGCAGAGGCGCCGGCCGGCCGGCCCGGAGACGGCCGAGCCGACCGAGGGCGCAGGGCCAGGGGTGCACAGGGGAGCTAAAATCCCAATGGCGGTTTGTTTTTGTGGAGGCTTTGCACGATCCGCGAGCTCGCGAGTGAGTAGAGGCCCCGCCCACCCAGGGTCGTCTGGCCCTTGGGTTCTTGTCTCGCCCCCCGGGGCGTCCGCCGGTAGTCTTCCCAAGAGACCTCGAGAGAGAGTGTGCGTGCCAGATCCGCGAGAACACTATGGCCGGCGTCGCGTTGGCCTGCGTGCTCGGCCCGGTGGCCTACTCGCTGGGCTCGCCCACGGCCGCGTCTGCGCGGCGCGGCGCGCCAGCGATGCAGTACTCGCTCAACAACTACCCTCTTCCGGGCCCGCTCTCGCCCGTCTACAACCAGGCGCTCGTCAAGCTCTCACGCTCGGACGAGACCACCACGGGCGGCCTATTCCTGGCCGCGGAGGAGAAGGAGAAGCCTCGCGAGGGCGTCGTGGTGGAGGCTGGCCCTGGCCGCGTCCATCCTGATACTGGCGCGACGCTCCCCACCGCGGTGAAGAGCGGCGACTTGGTGCTATTGGGCGAGTTTGCCGGCGAGAAGGCGAATCATATGCCATCAAGCAGAATCCTCGCGACGCGACTCAACCCGCCCGTGCGCTCTCGCCCTCGGCTCGTAGGTGGACTACAATGGCGCGTCGCACCAGTTCGTGTCCGACGACGGGATCCTT